TACGTAGGAATACCACTTCATCGATTCTCTGCGACAGATGAAAATGAAGTAAAAAATATTGTGAACAATATGCGCAATGTGGGAAGTGGTCATGACAAAATAAATACAAAGATATTTAAATCAACATATACATCAATAATAGCTGAAATTGTTCACTTAATGAATCTCTGCCTTCACCAAGGTGTGTTTCCCACCTTATTAAAAAGAGCTGTTATTAAGCCCATTTATAAGTCTGGGGACAAACAGTTATTCAATAACTACCGACCAATTTCTTTACTGCCGGTCATCTCGAAATTACTAGAAAAACTCATTTATGCTCGTTTAAGTGAACACTTGACTCAAAATAACATCATCTGTGATAATCAATTTGGCTTTAGGCAAGGTATGAGTACGTACATGCCTATCGTAATTCTTCAAGAAAAAATTGTAAGTGCTTTTGAAAGTAACTTGAACACTTGCGGAATTTACCTCGACCTCCGCAAGGCTTTCGATACAGTTGATATCGAAATATTACTTTGTAAGCTACATAAATATGGCATATGTGATGAAGCACATATGATGCTAAGATCATACTTGAACGAACGCACTCAATGTGTACAAATTGATGACATTGAATCATCTATTCTTCCGATAAACATCGGAGTACCTCAGGGATCTATTTTAGGTCCACTTCTTTTTATATTGTACATAAATGATTTTATCTCCGTATGTGATGAACACATATCTGTACTTTTATATGCTGATGATACTGCCATTTTCATAGAAGGAGAAAACGAAAATGTACTTCAAGCTAGAGTAAATACATTAATGCCTAAAGTTGCTGAATGGTTTGCTTCCAACCAGTTGTCTTTAAACTCTGATAAAACGTACTATCAGATATATACCAATAAACGAACAGATTTTGAACTAGCAATTCAAATTGATGGTGCTGAAATTGTCCGTGCAAACACTGTTAAATACCTTGGTGTATTTATTGATGAAGACCTCAAATGGAAAACACACATAGCCAAACTACAAACAACATTGTCGAGAAACATTGGAATGATGAATAGGTTAAAGTACCTCTTGGGCACAAAACACCTTTTGTTATTGTATCATTCTCTTTTCCAGAGTCATGTCAACTACTGCTGCTTTATTTACACTAACACTTATCCAAATAGCTTAAGTGAATTAGAAAAACTTCAGAAACGAGCTGTTAGAATAATCGATGGACAGCCAAGACTGGCTCATACTGCGCCAATATTCAGGAAATTTAAACTCCTTAAACTTAGGGATCTTGGGCATCAACAAATGTTATTACTATTACACAGAAAACTTAATGGGAACCTGCCATCTGCTATTGCTGAGCTTTTTGTAACCTCCGAACCTACTAGAATTAATCGTTCCGTTAAACATTTCTATGAGTCATTTGCATATAGAGTTTACAAAACTCATACTTTATCATGGGCTGGGCCTAGAATTTGGAACAGAATTATGGTACCTTTATTTCCTAGACTTTCTACGGTGCCAACTTCGAAATCCGTTATCAAAAACATCTCCAAAAGTTTCTTCCTGAGCCAGTATGGTTGATTCATTGAATACAGTGTTTCTCATCAATATATGTTCCATGTATATTAGTATGTACGTTTTATACACACAAAAAACATCTTTATTATCGAGTAGCTAGTTCTGTTACCCGTCCTTCCTTTTCGGTTACCCCTTTTCCATTGTGTGTATGTGATTTTCTGTGTTCTTTGTTTTTGTTTTTGTTTTTTGCTTGTTTTTTTTTTTTGCGTCTTTTGATATCGCCTGCCAGTCTCGTTATGTTGCCTTTATTGCTTTATTGCCTTACCTGTCCTAATTTCTACACCAGCCACTTCGGAACTGGCCTCTGGGGGCCGTCTGACAACAAGCCTTGCTTAGTTGGACGGCCCTACAGAGGCTCAGTAAATGACCCTGCCTGAATTTGACCAGAGATGTTACCTACAACAATCCACTATGTATGTATGACTGTATCCCCCTCAGTTGTCTTCCTCCCACTAACATTCCCCTGTGTGAGTGAGCATCAGTGGGCGTTTCAGGGATGTAGGAGGGCAGTCACTAACTGTTTGCAGTTGTGACTACTTTGCTTCTTTTATACCATCTATTAACAGCATGCTTACTCCTCTGATATTCGCCTTCTTTTGTTTTTTTCCTTACTCTTAGCAGGGAGTGCCGCGACTTGTCATATTAAGTTTTCTGGTGTTAACGTAAGGTTCTGTGTGTCGCTGGGATAGAGGGAGGGGGCACTCCTGGTCACCTGTTCATGGGTGGCGGTGTAGAAAAAAAAAAGCTCTTCAAAACTAAAAAAACAGGGCCCATTATACATAAAAAGCGAAGTGCGTAGTTCAAATATAAAATATGTTTACCGCGCGGAGCGTGAGACAGTCAACGGTTCACGTTGCGAGCAAACGCCTAAGAAACGACCAGGAATCGCCAATATTGTTCTTCGACGTATTCTCACTTCTCACCGGATCCGTGACTTATCAGCGCCTTCTGTTACGGATATTTTTCTCGCAGCTTTTCGCTCACCTGCTCTGCGCGTATTGTTCTGATCATGTCTCTAATGTCATTATATACAGAGAAAAGATGCGCCGCCTTTGATGCAGCACGTGCATCCAGGTAGAAGTGTGCGCCAGCCACGTGATCCCACCCCACCTGCATCCACTCTACCTAGATCCGGTCACGTGACTGTCTCCACTAGCCCGCCGAGTACGTCTCAGAAAGGAGACGGATGTGATCCCGACAATCGGATCTATTTTTTCGAATATATTTGTGTGACTTTGCCAGTTGTAATGTGGTGCAAGTGCACTTAGCCGTATGGAGTGTGGATTCGCTGGCACCGAGGTAAAAATAAACATTGCATGGTGTGTCAAAAGTGGAAATAGCCGGTGCGCCGTCTGGCAACCCGGCAGCCCGCCGCCATAGGGAAAATCATGTTTTTTGTCGCTTTTTCGCTCCTTATGAGTCACTTGATCTAATTAGAGCTTAACTAGGAACGAGGCGGGTCACTTGGACGTATTCGGGAGCCGAATACGGTGTTTTGGAGCCAATACCTGGGAAACCCTACCCGCCCAATGCGAGTTTTTAAGAGTCTGCATGCCCAAATTAACGTTGAGCGCGGCCGTTTTCGGTCGGTTTTCCGCGACCTTGTGGCGAAATCGCCTTGTTTATTCAACCAGGGTGGGCTAATTCGCTTAACTAGGAATGAGGCGTTGAAGAGAATTATTCAAGGAATAGAGCTGTTCAAAAATAGTTTTTGTATTTTTAAAACTGTATCCGCCCTCGAACGATAAATATTGTTGACCCATCAGAGACACATCCCCTGGAATGCGTTTGGACTTGGCTGGATCTAATATTAGCGAGTTTCTGCTAATGCATTTTCTTGGCTTACACAGTACGCACACAAGCATACATACTTCCTGCCCTTGGTTATTCCTCACTTGAATGAAAAATTTGCTATAATAACTATTCCAAGCAGTTAACAGGTTTTAGTGCAGTGCCAAGTCGGAACCGTTCAGCGCCGCCAGTCTTCCAGGCGGCGCGTAGCGGCCGCCGCCGGCCGCCGCGCCGCTGCTCTGGCAGGGTGTTTGACTTCATATCTCTGTTGCTAGAAAAGTTGTGGACCGATTTACTTGATTCTTGCATGAAAGATCCGCCATTCAATTCTTAGCAGATAACGAAAATTTGACGTCAATTGCACGATCCGCTGCCCATATTGTGGTACTGCCATCTATTGACAAGGCTGGCGAACTAAAGCCGGGCGGCTATTTCCACTTTTGACACACCATGGAAACAGCCCTCAACGTCTAGCTGAAGCTCAGAGCTGCTTTTCCCCACCAAACAAATAAAAAAGTGTGGAGCACGGGTTTACATAGTTGATTCCCCTAAGATGTACTTAGCTTTTATCACTTTTTAACCAAGATTTACGACGAAGGAGAGGAAAAGAGATACAATTTAAATTGCACACATAAAAGAAAGGATGGTAAAATCCCGGCTGCCTCTGACAGAGCCCCTCTGTTGAGATATCTTTACTGGGCATGCCCTGACTGGAACACCTTGAAGAACAGCACGGCGTCTAGTCACAGGAAGCCAGCAGGTCGTAAAATGACTCATCAGCTGCTAGTATCTACCGTTATTCATTTGTCATTTGTGTTAACGGTGGAAGTATGATATATAATTGTCAGTGATATTGTGATTGATGTGTGAGTAATGGCGTTGATATTTGGCGGGGTTCATCCATTGTGGAACCCCAATGATATGTAATATTTCAAAATTCCAGTAGCTTGTTGTTCATTACGTAAATGCACAGCAGGATTGCACATTTAACAGTGTAAAATTGAAGTGTTTTGCAATTTTTTTCCTACATAACATATGTAACAGAAAATCCTTTGACATTTGTAGTATCGTTGGAGTCTACGACCACTGCTAGTTATGTTTTTGTTTTCTTTTTTCGCCAACGTCAACGTGTCTTACTGTGGTCGTGCTGGAGGCGAGGCCGTGAGCTACCGCGATGACTCAGCCCTTTCTTTAACTAAAACGTTAATTGTTGCACTGGCTAACTTTAGGATGTGCATGTTGCAGACAATGTGTGGAATGAGACATTCTACTTCTGTAGAATGCCTGACCGACTAGGCAATCTATATGCTAGAATGACTAGACATACATGGTTCGTTGAGCTTAGTAGAATATGTAAACCTAACCTATGTAAACCTATGTAAACCTAGTAGAATATGTAACCGGCAAACGTAGTGAAAAGTCCGTTTACTGACTGCATGCTGTTTAATTCAAATCATCAACACAATTCACAGGACTACCGCCTAACTGAAACTTGGCCCAATGATACATTCCTCTACAATAAATAGCCCGGTTCGCACAATTAATAAGCATGTTCCATGTAAGCCTACAGCCTACACTACAGTTGCATTTTTCTTAAAAGCACTGGCATAACGCAACAAAGTCACCACAAGTGACTCTGCAGGACAAAGCAATGCTGACTACAAGCACTCAAAAATTAGTTTCGGTACAACAATGGTAAACAGTTTGCTACTGTGAGTAACAGTGGTATACCATTTACAACAGTAGTTGAAAAGAACACTGCACTTAAAACAGCGTCCTATACGGACGAAAACTCAGTAGATAGTTATCAACATTACTTCGCACACATCGCTGTCGGCGTAAAAGCTGTGTTCACACTGCAAGCGAAACGTGCAATGTCAGCACACACGATGAAAGCAGCCAATTCTGGTATTGATGCAACATACAACAGGGTTACTTCTACATGTGAGAATAATTTGACGATCGATATAACTTATTATGGGCCCACAGTTGCCAAAGCCGATACAGTTTACATGGTGATATGATTACGTTGGACCCTACACTCTACAGTACAATGCAAGGTACGCCTTGATAATTATGAAAAACAAAAAAGCACGTCATATTGGTATCTCTAAAAAAGTATGCACTATGCAGGAGTAAACACGCAGTTTTCGATTTACATTTCTCCTGTTTTGTTTATAAAATCAGTAAAAACCACTCATCGGAATCAAAACAGAGAGCAAATATGCACAGACGGAAAAGAAACAAACATTTAAACAAAAATTATCAGCGGCATTTCAAAACACATACTTTTTATGTGGCGCATTGAAGAATGTACACCAAACTTTATGCTCACTTTGTGTGCCACTTAACGCGTAATGAATGGGATGAGTTCCGTGGGCCCGTTGGCGCATCTCAACGCATTGTGACGCAATGGAGCACAAACCGACGCATTACGGCACACAATGAATGGCTCAGCTCCACTAATTGTGACGCAGTTCGACACCAACTCTAGGTCTAGTGTGTGCTGTGCGCCTTTTCGTTAGTGTCTGTTACTGATTCTTTTCTCTGCACGAGTGCCGCGGACACTCCACAGCATTACACATTGTCACTTGACTGAGTACCGGTTTAATACCTCTAGGCACTCCTCTGGGTGTCGTTTGAAACTCCCATGAGTATCCACCATAAAACCCTGTACTATCGTTTTCCATGATTCACCCACACTTCATTTTCATTCGTCTCCATTCTCGACTTGTCCATCCCACTTATCTCATCAACGGCCATCGCTCAGTCATACCGCGACAGAAGACACTCTTTCTGACACTTCGCATGGGGCGACACTCCGCATGGGACAGCACTACCAACACTCGGTATGAGGCAACACTATGTATGACACACTATATGATGTCATAAGCCACATCAGCAATGACTGAGCAGTGCGCAGTTCGAAATCCAGTGTCCAATTAACACGCGACACTACAAATGTACGTTGCAAGTTCATTGGATGCAACTTCAATGCTGAGAGTACTGTTGCAAGTTCAGTCATTTGGGAACTGGTTGATTCAGTCGCGTGTTCTTTGCCAAAGGCTGTTAGTGTTCTGTGCAACCTTTCAACATGTCGAGTCTGACAATCCTAGGTTCGCCTAGGCAAAGCACAGTTTTGTGACGTTTAGCCGCTTGGCGTCTGTTTCAATTGAAGTCTTTTCAGATATGCGTCAAGCTTGTTAGTCTGGTCATTCTGGAATCTCCTGGTCCAGGATAAAACATCGAGCACTAAAATTAACGGCTGTATCTTGCTGGATTCAGCTCATTCCCGTGGAAACCGCACCAAGTCTCATTCCTCACATAGACACAGTTTTTGTTCAAGGTCGGCTAGAGCTCCTTCAATTCCTCCCTACTGCCTCCCTCGCCTTCACCGTCGCTCCCTGCCACTTGCACTCGACCTGCCTGCTCTTTTGTCCAATCTATATTCCACTCTTTTCTCTCTTGCCTTCATATTGGCACTTTCCTTCATCTACTTCATGTAGCTTCCGTTTCTCTCTTCTTCACCTTGCCATCATCTTCGTTTGTCTATCTACCTCTTGTCTCTCTTCCCTTCTCTTCCATCATCTAACTCTTGTCCTCCTCTGTGTTCCCCTGGTCCAACGTTCTCAGGCCCTTTGCCAACTCCACCTGACACATACAGCCCGCAGGCAACCTGAACGTCTTCATTCTTGGGCACTTTGTTGGCAGGAGTGGATCAGCTGCAATCAGCGTCCTGTGATAGAATGTCTGCACGCATCTGGACCTAGTGCCACAATCTGAGACAGCTCTGCAGAAGCCGTCTAGCTGGTTACAGAGTCCCACACTAGTGCGTTGACGCAGGGAACGATGTTGAATGATGACATACCATCTCCCATCAGTAGCTTTGGCGTATGTGGGTTCCACAAAACGCGTTGTGGCGTCGCAGACATCCTGGTGTTGGTAGTTATACGCTGCCCATGACCACGGACGGCCAGAGGCGGAGGAAGGTTCTGGAGTGTTGGAGAGCTGCGTGACGTCATCGGGCACCTCTGAGAAGAGGTACTCGAGGATGGTGCTGCATTGGTCGACGACACGCTCCATGTAAGCCCTGAGGGAAGAGAGGGTGCGTGTGAGAGATGGAGGGGAGAGAGAGAGTGAGAGAGCGAGAGAGAGAGAGAGAGAGAGAGAAAAAAAAATGGAATGTCATTACGTGACCATTCGATATTGAGAAGGTATGCTTTCCGTAAAGGTCACGTCACGAACAAGCAGGCGCAAGAATTTTAAATGCCAAACACCGCAATAACAATTACACGGAAGGCCTAATAAAACTGATCAATAACGTTGCCAAATAGGGCGAGGCGGTGGTTCCATTTTCCATCGGCCTACTCCCGCGCTATAGAGCAAAAGCAGGAGCATTGCATCATACCTACTGCATATTGGACATAGCCGAAATGTCATGCGGAATCTGACAATCCGTCTGTGTGCCTGCCATCTCGCCCACCAGAGATCGGACGACGGTGAAAACAGGGCGCCTGGGGCCATTTGATCAAGGTTCGTGAAATTCACACGTGGCGTTTAGCATGAAGAAGACTCACGGAGGGGGAGAAGTTCCAAATGTCACGTGACTAATATGCCCTCCGGCGCCCTGTTTTCACCGGCGTCCCAGAGATCAGCCCAGAGGTGGAGATCTCGGGGAGGGGGTCAGGACCCCCTCCCTGAAAACGAATTACTGCTATGTAAGTCAATGGTACTGCATCCAGCCCGCCTCCATCTGCCCGGCCTTGACCCCCCCCCCCCTGAAATTTTGACAGATATATCTCCACCCCTGGATCAGCCACTGCCCACAGGGCCTCCACCTACCTGGGGTACTGCTCCTGAGTGTCGCAGAACCCATTGTCGGCCGCCGACCGGCACAACTTCTCCGGATCCTGAGGCATCACCGTCCGCCTCACGATTTCCTCAATGTCTTCAGCGCGGTCACGTGACCCCGCCGGCCGCGCGCTGCCAGAGTCACGTGACAGCGTGTTGAACCCGCCACCTAGCGGCAGTGGGTCGCGGCCGAGGTCTCGGACCACGCCGCCAGATGGCAGGAGCTGCTCGCTGCGGCGAGGATTGGTAGTGGTAGCTGCGAGTGCAGGTTGCGGGGTCGGTTGGGCGGTGGATGTCAGAACCTGGTGTAGCCGGAGGCCTGTGGTGAGGGCCGGGCCCGGCTGATCAGACTTTGGCAGCGTCTGCTGACCGAACCCAAAGCCGAAGTCGGCGGGGAAAGAGGGTGGAGTGACGGCCCGGTCGAGTGTGGCACGGGTAGAGGATGAGAGCACGCTGGTAATCAGCTGTCCGTTATCGTCGACACTCTGTATCACTCGAGCATCCCTCTGTTTTCTCTCAGCGTCCTTGGAAAGCAATGGCCGCAAACCGCCCAGGATCCGTAAAGGTGGCGCTGTGGTCGGCCGTGGTGTGGTTATAGATGTCGCTGCGGTCACCGGTCGAGGAAATCTGACGTTCCCGATGTCTACTACACCACTAGTCAACTCCTCCGGATCATCAGCAAACCTTACGAACTGCCTCCGAACGCTACCCGTCGAAGTTTCCGGTGGCAAGAACAGCCGACTTGGTGAAAAATCCTGAAACAGCGCGCCGGACACCACTCCTTCCCCCGGCAGTTGCTCTTTCTCTTCGTCGGCATCATTCGACACCCCCACCCCGAACGGGGGAAACAGAGGCAGGAGGCGATCCGCCTCTGGTCTCCTCCGTCCTCCCGCGCCGGGATCCAACGGCAGGGGGTCCTCCCCCAGGATGGACTGCAGTTCTTTCAGCATGGCCACCTGCTCCCGGCTCAGCGGAGGTCGAGTGGTCGAGTGTGGCCGCGGCGCGGGGGTGGTGGTAGGCGGAGGAGGCGGGGCGTCTGACAGAAGGTGCTGGAAGTTCCGGACTCCGTCCAGACCGGCTCGCAGAGTCTCACTGGGTGCGCCGCTGGCTGGTACCACCAGGTCCGGACCTGGAACTGTAAGAGCGGGGTTAGACAGGGGTCATACAGAGTCCGATGGGGAGGTGTCAGTCAGGGTCCGACAGGGGCTAAGACGGGCGCTAGACAAGGCTTCAGTTAGTAGGTCGGGGGGCATAGAGTGGCGTCAGCCGTCAGACAAGTGTCAGTGGTGGTGAGACAGTGAAAGGGACACATGTGTCGGTAAAAAATGAAAATAAAACGTACTAGAGAGACAACCGGTTTGAACAAACATGCGTGCTATAAAAACGGGGAGAAAAGCAACTTCTCAAGACCACGACAATGGATCCCTTACAGGTAAGGGCTCTCTCTTTCTACCTTCCCAGATATAAATAGAAAAATAGTTCCTATAGGTATTCTACCTCTCTCCATCTCCTTTCTGCCTCTCTCACTCTTTCTCTTTGCTCTATCTCTGCGCCTCTCGTCCTTTCTCTCACTCTCTCCTCTCTCTTTCTCTCTCTTTCTCTCACTCAATCTCTCTCTCTCTCTCTCTCTCTCTCTCTCTCTTTCTCTCACTCACTCTCTCCCCTCCTCCCCTCCCCCTCCTTTACCCTCCCCTGCTCCCACTCACCTGGTGGCACCGCCGGTGAGGGCGGTTTGAAGTTGGCTCCAGGCCGCCTTCTGCCAGGTCCTCCTCCTCTGACAAACCGCCCCGAGCCGGGCTTTCTCGGGGGCACCCGCCGCAGGGCAGGCCGGGGTCGCTGACCTTGACGGGGTCGCCGCTGCTGGGCGACAACAGCTGATAGCAGCAGCAGCAGCAGTGACACCTGGCGGAGAAATGACGAGTTAGACGGGGATGGTTGTTTTTAACTTATGAGTTTGCCTGATAGTGGGGATTGTCACTGTTGGTGATTTTAGTAAATAAGCAACACACTCAACAATAACCACTGCTTTCTTCATGTTTGCTTTGTTGGGTTTCATTTGACCTTTTATTTAGGTATGATGAGACAATGCTAGTTGCTACAGCCGAAAGGATGATAGGAATTTGAGAGAAACACTGGTCTGGGCAGCCTTTCCCGTGTGCGGACGGAGCTGAGCTCGTCGCGACATAGGAAAACAAATTACTGAAATGGGATATTGGGATCATTACCATGACCATCCTAATAATTATCATCTGTACATACGTCACCATAATCGGTTACTGTTGCACCGTTTTGGAGTACGCGACATATCTGAGGCTAAAGTGTTGGTTGAAGTCTTGTGATACCGTTGGTAAGCCCGGAGGACACTGATCTATAGGGAGCTGCGAAGGAGGATCGAGAGATAATTATATTGTTTTGGAGGGACAAAGGAGAAAATAATAAAAGGTCGAGTTTTTTTAGTCACGAATAGATCATTTATCTTTGAAGTCAATAATAGACGGGTAATGACATTCTGCTCAGTGATCATAAATGCAAACATCAAATAAAACGTGATATGACTTGCCGATTAGTTATAACACGAGCGACGCCCTATATTAGAGCGTGAAGAAATTCAATACATCTAAAGAACTAACCATGCGAAAGACATCCTCACATTGGCCGTACACGTGACTATTGGTAAAGGTCGCCAGCCATCTCAATACCAGCAAATAGCGTTAGCCAGAAAGGATCAGAGCGGATGTCAATTTCTCACAATCTGTCTGCTCAGATATTAAGCTGGTTCTTCTCAGCAGCAGCTGACGCGTTTTCAGCGCGGAGCCACGTAGAATACTGCACATTCTCTTCCCATACCGAGCAGAAAGCTGCTTTTAATAATCCACGCAGTGCATAGCCTGGCGCTATTCACAATATACTGTGAATAAGATGAGGTTAGACTGTAGTCTCATCTGCCAGTGTCCAATGACGTCACGTTTGACGTCACTGGCTCATCTGGCCCAATAGCGGCCCCCCGGCTACCCGGATATGGCAGTGTGTACCATAGGTGTAGGAACAGGGGGTGGGGGACGGGAGCCCGGTGGCCCCCCACTTTTCATAGTAGGGGGGGGGGGCAGTAATGTTAACCCTATTAGTGGCAGGCTCCTGGCTACCCCTATTAGTGGCAGGGGGGGCTGTTTACGACCCCCCTGATATCTCGAGATCTAACGGGCCGATTTTCAAAATTCAAACGGCATTCGATTTCGCTCAACGTGATCTACATTTCTAAAAAAAGTAAAAATTAAAAATGTCAATAGGGGGTAAAGGGGGTAAAAGCGGGCAAATTGCAGATACATTTTAGACTGTTTATCACGGCCAGGTTTCTGAACCAATCTTAACGCAACTTTTGCCGATCGATAGAGAATGAACCAGGAATTCACATGGATCATAAAAATATGCATTTTCAAAAATCATAGGCGGATACAGATCATTGAGATTGGGGGTACACAAAAAGTATAGTAAATAAGGTGTTTTTGTTGGTACTGTTTCTAAAAAGGGTGGCAATGGTCTTGCTATGTTACAATTTTCTTATGAGAGAACGACTACAATTGTATTGGTCATGCATAGGCGGTGTCAGGGCGCCTATGTTTGTTAGGTAAAACATAACCCCCCCCCCCTTTTTGGACGCCTGGATCCACCTATTATAGCAAAAACGTGTCAAAAGAGGATGCACAATAGCTTTGTATATGTTATCACATAATACCTTCCATTCACTGTTCGTAAAACTGGTGCATACAGTTATAATACATCAGTATCGTGATATTCGCCCAAATGACTCGCTTCACGAATAGGACTCCCCAATTCCCAGTGCTCTGGAGCCGCCCCTGGTAAAGTTATGAACTTGAAATTTTCAGGGAATGTGCCCAATTTAGTTTTAGGAAAAGTCAGAAAATTTCAGCATCGTAGCTTCAGCGGTTTTGGAGATATTCCCGAAAAACCTGAGGGGTTGATGAAAACAACCCCCCTGCCACTAATAGGGTTAACTGCCCCCCCCCCCTCCCCTTTTTGCCGAACTTTTTAATGTATTTGTAGGTATCACCCCGAAGAACAAACTTGACGGTTCTCCGGCCTGCCCTTCCATGAAGATTTCCATTTGTGCTTCATCGTTATTGAGTGCAATTTTCCTCCACCCAATGAAAGGTAACTTTCTGAGAAGCAATAAGTGGCAGCTTAGGGGCAGCGCGCGCTGCAAAGAGAGACAATAGGTACTGGCGCAGCAGAATGCGTAAACGGCGTAAGCTAACCATTTATGTTAGGCGGCCTTGCATTAGTTGATCGGTTACTGGCATAGGCGTAGGAGCAAGGGGGCAGGGGGCAATGGTCCCCCACTTTCGAATGGGGGCCAGCAATGTTAACTGCCCCCTCCCCCCCCCCACACATACACCTTTCGCTGACTTTTCACTTCTCACGTTTCACGCTCGCTCGTAATAAAAAATGTTTTTGGATGCTTCTGGAATTCGTATGGGTGCCAACCAGTGGCGGATCCAAGGTGGGGTCACGTGGGTCATGCCCCCTTGGGGCCCAGGGGCACCACAGGCCTACCAGGGGCACCACCGACCTATCAGGGGCATCACAGACCTGACAGGGGCACCACCGGCCTGTCAGGAGCACCATCGGCCTAGCAAGAGCACCACTGGTCTGCCAGGGGCACCACAGACCTGTCAGGGGCACCACAGGTCTTCCAGGGGCACCACCGGCCTCGCAGGGGCACCTTGGGCCTGTCAAGGGCACCATGGACCTGTCAGGGGCACCTCAGGCTTACCAGGGCCCAGGGGCACCACATTCCTTTCAGGAGCACCACAGGCCAGTGTCAGGGGCACCAGAAGCCTAGCAGGGGCACCACAGGTCTGCCAGGGGCACCACAGACCTGCCAGGGGCACCACATGCTTGCCAGGGGCACCCACTGGCCTCGCATGGGCACCTTGGGAATGTCAGGGGCATCACGTGCCTGTCGGGGACACTTCAGGCTTGTCAGGAGCACCACAGTCCTGTCAGGGACCAGGGGCACCAGCGGCCTAGCAGGGGCACCACGTCCTCGCAGGGGCACCACCGGCCTCGCAGAGGCACCATGGGCCTGTCGCTGGCACTTCAGGCTCCTAAGGAGCACCACAGTCCTTCCAGGGGCACCACAGGCCCGCCAGGGGCACCACAGGCCCGCCAGGGGCACCACAGGCCTGCCAGGGCAAAAACAAATAAATTGAAAATGAAAATAGGGCACCACCAAAATTAAGTGGCCGAAATCAGTTGAGGTTTTTATTTTGAGTATAGGTAGGGGCACTACTTCGATTCATGACCCTCCCCTTGGAGTTTTCCTGGATCCGCTCCTGGTGCCAACGAGGCTGCGGAGCCCAGGGGGACGCGTCCATGAGGTTCAATTTCTGGACGAGAGTCTCCCAGAGATTTTGGTCGATTTTTTTTTCTTGTCACTTTCTTTTTTACCAATTTGAGCATGCTTGCGAAAATAAAGTGGCCGAAATCCGAGGAGAAAATGGATTTTGGGGGTAGGTGAGGTTTTGTGCTTCTGGGAGCCTGCCCCCCCCCCCCCAGTTTCGAAAACGTTCCTACACCTATGGTGTGTATGTATAGTCGACTACAGAATGATGTTCCACTCCTCAGAAGCTATCAGTTGACCGGAGCGCTAAGTTGTGCCGTTTATCACGCAATTAAGCGTGTCGATTGTGAGCATTGGGACAAAGCTATAATTTGTGAACTCAGCCCGTGTGATGCGGCACAGCCTACCACTCCAGGCAAATAATTGCCTGTGAAAAGTGGAACATAATTCTGTAGTCGACTATACACTAGTGGTGTCAATCGGAACTTTAATCTTCGGAATTCCGATTTTGTCCAATGTCCTATTCGGAATTCGGTTGGACAATGACAGCAGGCTTTGGACAACTTTGGACAATCGCTTGCTACACCTCAACATTTTTATAAAGAAATCGTATTTAACATTGATTGGCTATCAGAAAGCTCAGCTTTCGATATGATTAACACTTTTGAGCTGGTAACGATACATTAAAAGCAAATTAAATAACGGTGTTGAGTGTAAACTATTGCGGATATGTCGGACATCTTTGGACAAATGGCTAGCTTGGACATTTTTGGACGGACGGTCGACGTAAGTATTGGACATTGGACAGACATTGGACATATGTTTTCTGAAATTTACATCACTAGTGTACACACACCATAGATTCAGTGCAGTATCGGTATCAGGCTTGTTTGCTCAGCTCGGCGTTGGCAATTGTTGTGGTTCGATTATTGTTTGTTTGGTGAATGTGTATTGTGTGTGGTTTGTTTGTGTTTGTTCGCGTCCAATTCGGTATGTGCAGTTAAAAGCTAGGTAGCTAGGTTTGGAAACATATTTTCACTCCTATAATTCATTATAAAGTTTAGATGGTAATGTGAACGATGAAAAGGCAAAGAACAATCATCATCGAAAGTCTACTTATCCGCTAAGCGATAGGGATGTCGATGCACCTGACACAGCAGTGCCATTTCAATTAAAAACTGCAGCACTTATACAGTGCAGGCAGGCATATCATCACTGAATGCTCACGTGTCATGCAGTCTACATCAATGCATACACATAACCCCAGGCTTGTGCGTTGCCTACAACACGTGGCAAAAACTCTGCGCACGTGACAACTATCCGGAGTAGGTGTGTTGGTCACGTGTCCATCTGCGCTGCTGTTTGCATGTTCGTTGAACAGGTCACGTGATTTCCGCTCCAAGGCGGATTACGTAGAAGGTTGGCAATAAAAGACAATTGAAAAGCAATGAACGAAACCGACTTTGTAAGGTCACCGGAATCCAATATGAGAGGGACATCAGTGCAGTCTTATAAAATGCACGAGGCTTATTTTATTGCT